TGTGTGTGTGTGTGTGCAGAATGATGCATGTGCAATTGTGTGTCCATTTGGCCCTTTGGGAACCCCTCAGGCTCGACATAAAGGGTTTAATGAGTCTCCTTAAGCAGAGGCTCTCTCTGTCCACATCAGGCAGCTGGTCGTTTTTGGCTGGCCTCCCACCTTCTCTATGCTTTTCTTTCTATGTTCATGTTACCGAAGGCAGAAAGACACTCATAAAAGTCTCATTTGCTTGCAGTTACCGTTCCCTCATTCTATTGATTTAATAACATAAAATTGTTGAAACAGCTCACTGACTAATATCATCACACATCATTCAAATTGGCTGATCTTTATAAAAGTGCCTGAGGGAAGTCTATCTCACATGTTTATGAAGAGAATACAGAGTTTGGTAGTGAGCTTATGGTAGTATTGCTCATTCTTGCAAGAGCACACAGAAATGCACCAATTTAAGTATACACACAGGCAGGTGAACACAGTGTTTAGGAGACAATGGTATTGTAAGATTAAAAGACGAGGCATTCTTTTATCTTTTTGTCATTATCAACAATTGACCCTGTGGACTCAACCTTGAAAAGACCACTGATTTAACCTGTATTGCTCCAACCTTATACAACCTGAGCACTGCTAAAGAATTCATCATCTAAAACAATTTAAATCTAAAAAAAAGCTATACTGTTGCCTTGGATTACTTTTTACTTAAATTACAGCATTTAATACAAGGCACACGTTGCCGTCAGTGAAATCACTTACAGTTTATTCTCCCATCAGACAAGAATTATGCTACCTTGCTACCTTAGAACTCCTGACTTAGGAAATCTGAAATGCACCTCTTTGGAAATACCTGCTTGGCTTACTCATTGGACTTAATGGTGGTCAGACACTTCTGAAACATTTCTTATTGCATCTTAATGGCTCTGTGCCTGGCATCATCATTAAGGTAAGCTCACAAGTGAAGCAGCAAACTGATTTGTCCACTTCCTATGGTGACTGTGGTTTGGATACATGCTGCGTGTATGGAGACACACACCTCGGCTGAACCCCTGTGAAATCACCCTCCTTGCAGACACACATCCAGTATGTGAGATGAAATATGTTCTGTCCATCACCTCAAGGTTTAGTGCCACAGAAACCCCAGGAGAGGACAGATTAAGAATCTTTCACCTAGCTGCAGGTCAACAATCAAACTGTCAGTGCTTGGAAGTGCAGCAGCTGTCCCCACAAGCCTTGATGTTTTATCCGAGACAGTTAATTTATCCCTGCAATCTAACTCTTCTGCTATGTGGTGCTTTTGTAAAACCCATTCTGTCAATTGCAAACAAACTGCAAATTTATAGTACAACTAAACATTGATTCAAAGAGGATTACATGTCTTTAGGTTAAAACCGTCAAATATATTAGACTTCTAGCCAGACTTCTCCAATCAGCAGTGTCACTGCAGGACCTTTTCAGCAGAATGATGTATTCCCAGACACATAAAGTATTCTCAAGAAAATATTTGTACTCTTTTCTTTACTCTGAAGACAAATTAGTTTACAAATATGTAATGTACTTGTCCCTATTTTTTATATTTTATCTGTTTACTAGTCTCCAACAGAAGAAAAGATAAATTCCTGCAGACTGTCTAACTTGCAAAACATTTATTAGTTAGTAACGCTTTGGTCCTAGACCTTCATCAGGCAGTGATCTGTTTACAAGTCCCCTTTCTCATAGTGGTATAGTGATAGTCTAGTTAGGCTTAATTTTTCCCTGATTTCTGCTAACCGTACTATATAAACACAATATAAAACAATATAAAACAACAATAACAGTTTGGATTACAGTTTAATTTTGAAGATTTCATTAAGCTGAGCAGCAACGGTGTTACCATGGAAACTTTAATTTACCCCCTGGACTGGTGGGTTATCACCTAGTGTTTTAGGAATCTATTTGAGACAAGAACAAATATAAGAGACTTGAGAGAAATAGTCAAAAAGCTTAGAATTATGCAAATACTTTCTGTATACCTGCTGCTGTATTGATGGTAAAAGCACATCATTCCTATCCCAATAAAATAAGTTCTTCTTGACAGTTCCTATACATTTCAACAATCTTCTAATACAGTGGCAACAGTAGCATGTGCCACCGGCAGATAATGAATTGCTCCAGTCACTGAACACTGTGTTAAATAGTTCAATATTAAGAAATATCTTGTGTTAACACAATCGACCTTTGTCCAAATGAAAACTTTTCCTTATTCCCTAGTGCTCCAAGACGTACTCAAGCCAGTTCCTGGAGACCTATGATGCCCACAGCATGGCAGTGGATGCTGTAAAGTGGAACCACTTCCACCCAAAGGTTTTCATTTCTTGCAGTTCGGACTGGACTGTCAAGATCTGGGATCATACCATCAAGTAAGTCCGCAGATAGAGTTTATACTTGCAGCTACTGTAGATATAAAAGCACTCTAGATGCTGTAGATTGTATAACTATAAATAATATTATTATTATTATTATATATTCTGTTTTGTCTATATTTATCTAGGTTTTTAGTAGAAGCTAGTCACCTACAGTATTAAGTTTTGTTTTCTTTTATCATCAGATGTAATTTCCATTCCTGTGCAGTTTTAAGGTTCTACATTATTTTCATTCTCCAGGACAAGCATGTTGTGGTACAAATGTTTTGTGGCATTCGGATGGCATGTTGTTGTTATTATTATTGAGGAATACTGCTCACCCACTATTGCAGCATCTAGGGTTTCATCCACCACCACTGGCTTAACTGGGCGTCCCATCAAACACAACTGACAGCGTTGGCTGGTGGGAAGCTGTTGAGGGATTATGTACTTGTTGCTGCGCTAGTGACTCCTACTAGTTGGCTCTTGTGCATTGAAGAGGAGGGTGATGTCTCTGGGGAAGGGCTTGAAATACTTAGTGTTACAGTCTCCCTGTGAAGCTCTTCAGTGTTGGGTGAAGGAGCGTATGACTCCGTATGTGTTGGAGTTGACACATAGCCAGCCATGTGTCAACTCCAACGCATACGGAGTTAAGTAGTATGAAGAACTACAGTGCTTGAAGAATTGGCTATGTTAAATTGGGAGAAAAAGGACAAGAAATAAACAATAAATAAAATAGTCAATTGGCTGTTGTTCATTTCAGGATTCCCCAGCAACTGCAGCTAGTATGAGTATTTCAGTTTAGTGGACCGTTTATTAAAATGTCGTATTTTAGATTTGGCATTATTCAAGTAAAAGTACCTGACTGGAAAGTGGTTGGTTACAGAATAGCAACTGCAGTGTTTTACTGTATTCATATCTTCATGGTTTGCAACATTACTAATGCTCTTTGTTCAAATGTCTACGTACATTCAGTGAAGAATGGAGAAGACAATCATCATTCCTTTAATCTGTTCATAATATTAAAGTCAGTCTTAAATCTTTATTACATTCTTATACTCATCATGGGCCCAGCATAATTTTCCTTGCTTATTTGACTAACCCGCTGTGCCTCCCACTTCTTGTCAGCACAGGCAGCTTGACTGAATAATGATAGCAATCATCCGCCCATTATGAGAGACAGGGTTTTCAAGAATGATCCATAACATCCCATAGATACAAGACATATTGTTTCCAGGAGAGAGTCTGACTGGATCAAACAACTTTTCTCAAACTTTACCACGCTGTCCGGAAGTGTGTGAAAGCTTTACACTGAAAACTGCTACTTTTGCTTGACAGCTGAGGCTAATATATATCCTGTAAAGCTGTCAGATGACATTAGTCAGTCCTGGATGAACTGAAGGGTTTGTAGTAATAGAAGATACTTGCATCGAGTCTATTAATCACATACAGTAATCTTGATATATTTACACCTCAGCCTAGTGGAACCAGGACATAATTTATGAATCCTAATAGCTCGGACTCTGGATTTACATTATGTGCAGTATAATTCTGCTGTGAAAGCCGCTCTTAAATGACTCCGGGCCAGATTTATTTGCCATTTGTGCCTAATTTCAGACATTTTCTATGTGTACCAGAATGCATGTTATTTATCAGGCACAGCAGCATGGAGGCCCAGTTTGTCATCTGACGTGCATCTTACACAAAATCAATAAGGATGGCTGGCGCAATTCGCAGTTAATGGGAAAAGTGCTAAGTGTGGTTGATTGTGCATTCAGGTTTGTTTACTAAGGTTCATGCAATTTGTTAGTGTCCATTCTCCTCCTCTTGTAGAGATTTCAGAACGTTTGAGTATACTGTATTTGAGGAAGCTGTGAGTAAGAGAACATTTAGATAATCAGTATTTTCATCCTCACAGGGCTGCTAAAGCGCTGTTTTAAATGCATTTTTAATAATAATAATTCTTAATTTCAACATTACTGTTTTCTGAGCTTGCTGATGGTAAACATATTCTACCACCTCTTGAGTAGTGCTTCACTTCTCATGTCTCAAGTAAGTCAAACACCAAATTAGCTACAGACTGCTGGTGCAAATTCCTTTCATGTACGTATGTAAGTCTGTCCTGTGTTACCAAAGTTGCAAACAAATGGAATAGAAAATTAAATAGCTTTCTCTGTCTCTCTTGCTCACACACACACTACCTCCCTAATATTTGAAGACGACCTGTATGTGCCTGGTTTCAGCTCTTAGAAATATTGCATTTCTTCATCTTCCTTCCTGTGGTGTTTCACAAGTTAATAATGTGCGGAAATAGTGTGCAGAAGGTTTCTGTTTCATCTCCACCCGTTACTCTGCCAGGCTCTGATGAGGCTTTTAACTGATTGCCATGGATGGCAGTCTAAAGATACATTGAACATAGAAACAAAATGTAGTTGTATCTGTAATGCAGAATTAGATAGATCTTTCTCTGACTCTACACTCTAAACAGCAACGTAAGCTGATGAGTAGAAGTTCTTGTTCATTTATTTAATTAAATGTAATGAAAAGTTACTGATTTCCTGTCTGACTTTGGATGTCTGTGTATTTTTTCCAGTACTCCAATGTTCACGTTTGACCTGCTTGCTGCTGTTGGTGATGTTGCCTGGTCTCCATACTCCTCCACTGTATTTGCTGCTGTCACAACAGATGGGACAGTAAGTGTCCATCTAAACTTACATTTTGCAGCCCATATTTGACTTAGGAGTTTAGTAGTTCATAACTTTTTTTTTTTTGCTTGTTTTGGCCTTCAGAAGACTCAGGATCAATGATTTATGCTCAGATGTATTAAGAATCTCACATCATTGATTGCACATTCCAGTGGGTTACATTTATAGTTGAAGAAAGCTGATGTTGTACTGACTATGTGTGATACAGAATATAGAGTTGGGCAATATAATTAATATAAATGGGGTGGACAAAATAATAGAAACACCTGTCAATATAATTCATCACAACTCAACAGCACCAAAAACCGACAATCTCAACAAAAGCAGAACATTATAACCTTCATCAAGGCAGGATTTATTTCAGGACTGTGGTACTACATTAGTTTTAGCTAGTTGTACTTAATAAAAGTGTTTCAACACGTTGATAATGATCTGTATGAAGATATTAAATCAAATATATAATTTCAGATGAAATATAAGGTATTTTCATGGCTCTAGGTGAGGCTAGGATAGTTTTTAATTCTTTGTTTTGTGCTTCAGAAGCTGAGTGTGTAACCAGTCTCAGACCTATATGAGGTCCTATAGGATGTTTTGTCTGTAGGCTATGATTATCACCACCACACATCTGCTGTGTACCTAAGATAACATTTGAAACTTACCTGGCAGAATATGCGAAAATACAAACAGCTGCCCCATCTACCACCTGCCACCCAGTTCATTATCATCCTTATAGTATAGACTCAGCTGACTAAACCCTTACTATATTTATAAGGCTAAGCCTCAGATTCATGCAGAATAGCCTTAGGAAATTGAGTTTGTTCAAACACAGTTCCTTGTAACAAAGGCGGCTTCCTGCCCTGCCAGTGGTTATTGATTCCAGCCAAAAGTAATTTCAGTGAATCCCATGTTGCTTATCTTCACATATTTTCTTAATATGGCTGCAAGCTGTCCCCATCTGTTTGTCTTCGCACCAGTCTGCACCGAGCTTCAAAGTCCAGAGTGTTGTGTCTGACACATTTCCTGTCCAGTGTGCCAAGTGAAGTCGAGTGAGAGTGACAAAGAGGAAATGAGAGCCGAAAAATTGAGAGACACCTTATGTGATAGTGTGCGTATGTGTGTCCTGTCACCACAGGCACAATACATACAGTGCTGAAGTATACCCACGATTATGCATATTATTTTACAACCATGAGTCTTGATAAGATATAGATGAGAGGAAGCTGTAAATCGAATGCCGCTTTTATGGGATACAAGTTGCATAAAAATAACTTGCAATTCATATAGCAGATGTTTTTACACAAAATAAAAACATCATTTTGTTTAATTGTAAACATCTACAGCAAAAAACAACAACTAATGAAATGACTTTGCTAGAAAGCATATCAAGTCCCAGCCCTTTTTGTAACTATGGTAATTTATTCTCTCAAAGTGGATCAAAAGCAGTTTTCAGCAGCTATTAAAAAACTCATTAAAAGCTCATCAGTTGGCATACATTTTACAAGCACAATATCCTGTCCTTTCTAAGCAGCAGGAAGGACAAGAATATTAAATTGGAGTCTATCAAGGTCAGTGTGCTGAACTCAAAACTGAACATCATTTCAGAAGGTTTTTAAGCATGCGCTTGGGCAAAAATAGCTCAGGCTTTGTTGATGGAAGCAATTATTTAGGTATACGAGTATTTTAAGGTAGGGTAAATATAGCCTGTAAACAGAATTAACTGGATCCACTAAATAACTATTCTACATGACATTTGGTTGCTGTGAGATTTTGAAAAATTACAGGATATTGCCAGAATTCCCACATTCAGTGGTGCGGTCGCAGTGCATGATGTTAATCGTCAGAATCGTCCCCAGGATAGCAGATTCTCTGCAGTACATTTGTTCTTTTCTGTGACAAGTGTCTGATAGAGCTTGAGTGACTCAGCATGAGTTGTGCGCTGCTTGACGTGTATTTACTGTTGATGACAACCTTGCCTGCTGCTGCAACACGGCAAAATGTCAGAGACACAATCGCGGACGTGTGTGTGTGTGTGTGTGTGCGTACGTGCGTGTGTACATGTGTTCATAAGGATAATGACTTGCCTGGCAGGCTGAGGTGTAAGAATGACACTGAGTTGTGCCACTGCAAACAAATATCTCTTCGTTCTCTCTGTCTTTGCCTCTCCATCTGAGCTGACTGTTGAGGAAATAAAGTGTCAGGATGAAATAATGAGAGGTCCAGGCTTATCCCCCGGTGATTAGTCTCCAAATCCATATTTGCTCTCTGTGCAGCTCTTCGTAACCTTCTGCACAGGAACTGACAAACATTTCAGTTAGTAGACCTGCATAAGCTCATGCTAGATTTTAAGATCTGATACTTCAACCTAAAGCCATAAAAACTGAAGAAATAATTTAACTAATTTAACATTAGAAATTAAAATGAAAGAATATATAATGATAAATAATGGGCATTCATTTCAGAGCTGTAAAATGTCTCTGCTCCATGTTCTTGCGTGAATTTCCGGTGTATTGACTGTGTACTGCAATCACTCATGACTAATGTTACATTAGTGCTTATATATCAAAAGCACAGATAATGGCTGCAGTGATGGAGGTTACAAAAAGTCATACCCTGGCAGAGTATGATGATTGGTTGCAAGTGATGACTGCGATGCTTTGTGTGGTGCTGTTGCACATAGACAGTGTGAACCCTAGCGACCCGGGCACCGTCATCTTTCTGGTAAAAGGAGTGGGCTGCGCTTTGAAGTGGGCTCATTTGTTGTCCACGGATTCTCTAAATGCACTTAGGCTGAAAGAAGAATATCTGTGATCTGGTTCCTTCTGGATAACGATGCCTATGATTTTGTATTGTGGCTGCCAAACACACATACACACACACACATATGGACAGAAGTGCACACTCATTGAATTACTGGGAACACCCTTCCTTGCACCAGATGGTCAGGCTTGCATCCCTGCAGAGGCTTTAGCTCCTCTATTCTCCTTCTCACATGAAAAGCAACACAAACAACACAAACAAGATGTGAAAGTGCAGTCTGCAACAGCTGATTTACGCCTTTACTTACTTACTCTCTTTAGACTATACCTCCTCCATCCCATCAGTCAATAAGATTGGTCCCTTATTTTACTGGATTAATACTTAAAACCTCAGTCAGTGTTATTGCTAATGGCCTGAAATGTCAGTTCAGTTACAGGGTCACACTGTAAAAAACAACACATTCATTCTTTTGATCATTCATTTTTTTCAGGTTCATGTTTTTGACCTCAACATCAACAAATATGAGGCCATCTGCCAGCAGCCAGTGGTGGCCAAAAAGAAGACAAAGTTGACTCACATTGAGTTTAATCCAATCTATCCGATCATCATAGTGGGTGATGACAGAGGCTACGTCACCAGCCTCAAACTCTCCCCTAACCTCCGCAAGAAACCCAAGGTAAGAGTCTTATCGAGTTGCCAATTCCATTAAAATCATTTAAGCTAATTTCCTCCAAAGCTAGGCCCGTATTAAACCTGCCAACAAGTGGTAAAAAGATAAACCTTCCTTTCCAAGTGAAGCTGCTTTAGCATCCCGTGTTTCTACTCTTGCTGCTTTGTCTTTATAATTAGGTTCTATTGGCACATACAAATGAAGCTTGTCCACATTACAAATTAGGTACCAAATCTTCTACCACTTCTAGGACTATGCAGAAGTGTGTTCTGCAATGTTACTATTGCTCTCGATTGGCCTATTGTGTTCTTTCACCTATTATACCGTCTTATCTGTAAACAGTCTTGGATGCATGCCTGCCCTGTTGCATTATTTATGACTGCCACTTGTTCCACATCAATGAAAGCAGATCAGATGATTCATTCTTGACCTCAAGCTAATTTCACTAAATAACAATGGAATAGAGGCCACGCACCCCCCTCCTCCTCAGCAGCTCATTACCAGTATCCCTAATCGCCTGTATTTAGGCCAGTTAACAATTAGCCACAGAAACATCAGGTATTGTTTGTAATTGAATAAGCGTGGTAGAAAAGATCATTAGAAAGAAGCAGAATTGTTATGTATTGGAAATCAACCTAAAACATAAGATAAAATAAAGTCTGATGGCCCAGTGATTTAAAAGGCCTATCACATAACCGTGGCCACCCTGGCTTCAAGGGTCCCCAAGTCATCCCCCTATCTGTCTCCTCATATTGCCTGTCACTAGTACTGTAACGCTGGCAACAAATGCCAAGACGTAATGTGGGGGAAATCTTGAGGAATAGAAAGGTACAATACATTTCGTATTCAAAGCAAGTTGTATTGCACTTTAGTCCATTCACAATTGATGAGTCACCGAAGGATCTGTTGCCACTCGTGGCAATGGTTAATGAGCTGCGGGGTAATCACAGCGGTCCTACTAAACACAGGAGGAAACCAAATGGCACACTGAGTCACAACACTTTAATCAGGGCCCATTTACAGTCAGCTCTGCAGCCTCTTCACTTTCTTTTGTGTTGTTCACATTTGATGCATGTTAACTAGAAGAAATTCAAATGACTCGAGAAACACGTATTTATTTTCACAACGCGTTTTTATGTATTATACACAGTACTGACGGGTCTGGATTCAACACACATAAACAGTTCTCCTTTCACCACACGCATAATAAACACAGTTTGTATGGGTGCAGCATAACTACACATACACACACATTCAGAGCTACCTCATTAGCGACCTCAGACTGTAGCCCTAAAGCATACAATTGGGAAATGATTGCACAGTTCAGCACCACTGATAGTGCTCAGTGTGGCAAATAAGCATCAGGCACAAACACCCACAGCAAATATTATCAATAATATGTCTTATAAAACTGGCACAGAAGCCTACTAAAACCAGCACAATGGGCATGGTGGCCCATAAATATACCCAAACCATTGGCACAGTGGCCTAGCAATCCAAACCGTAACCGACATTTAAGGGCTTTCGATAAGACCAATGAGACAACTCCTTGGCTCGTTTACGCTCACTAAACTACTCCAGTCCACTTGACCTCTCACATCCTGCGGGGTTGCTCTAATAGGTTTTAATTCTTTGTTTTGTGCTTCAGAAAACAGGAAGCAGAAATTTACTACAGGGTGCACCTAGCCAAAGTA